CAGCTGACTGCAGCCTTCTGTCTCTGGTGGTTTCAACCAACTAAAGATCAAAGATCTTGGGAGAAGGCGAGCATGGAGCAAGCAATTCCGTGATCAAAGCAGTCTTCAAAGGCTGAGGGATCTGCAAGTGCTATTTACATGGCATGAAGTGGAACTGGGCATCCTAAGTTATCTAGAGGTGATTTCAAGTACAGGAGAAGATGGTATGTAGTTTCTATGTAAATACTATGCCATTTCACCAAAGAGACCTGGGCACCCTCCTATTTGGGTAATCCCAGGGGGTCTGAGAATTAAATCCCTCCATAATTAGTAAGGACTGTTCATTGTTCAGGCCTTCTCCCCCAGGGAAGCCCCTCCAGTAGATGGGGTGGGGTGCATCGTAAAAAATGTTTAGTCACCTCTGGTGTTCTCCTCTGCAGCCAGCTTTCAGCTCAAAACTCTGGGCGCTTCATTTCTGAGGTTGAGACCCCTCCCTGGTCCAGGGGAGCTGAGGGCCCTCTGCTGTGAACAGGGTATGATGCCAGGCCTGGCCTGGGGCCTTAAAGGGGTGGTCAGTCCAGCCCTGCTGCAGCCTTGTAAGGGTGTCTTTAAAAGGGGAGGGCAATAAATTCTCCCACTGGTCTCCATGTACGATTTGCTTGTCCCCAAGTCCTCCTGGGGCAGTGGGCAGCAGGAACCCTTACGGGGAGCAGCTGCTGGTTTCCAACGGCTGACCCTGCAGCTAGCTGCCCCAGCTCACGACCCACGAGTTCCCCCAGGGCTGCTGCTCCCATGTGGATATTCTGAACAGCAAAATTTTAAAAAATTTAATGTAAAGGTCAATCTTGTACATTTCTGGAAAACAAACGCAAACAGCGGGATAGAGGGGCAGCAGCACCGTTCCCCGGGAAACGAACGAATGTGACACGACAGTAGCGGTGGGAGCCTTAGGTTGCAAAAGGCCTGGAAAATCATCAAACATGCATCCCTTCTAATACCCCATTGCTCCCCCATGAGCAGCCGGGTCCAGCCGGGTTAATTAAATGTCTGCCCAAATACATCGGGCCAATTGTCAAGTTGATAATGTTGCATGACGGGGAATGTTATAAATATCCAAACATCCCTTGCAGTTAAAAAAAGGAAGAAAGAAAGAGGTTCCATAGCAGGCGGGGCGGAGCGCTGGACCCATTTTTTGCCTCGGGCCCCGCCCACGGGCCCCCCGGCCGCGCGCGTGCGCAGTTGCCCCTAAACCCGGAAGTGGGTGCCGCCGAGGGAAGGTCGCCCTGGGGTGAGTTAGTTTCCGTCTTTTCGGTTTAAATCTGCGCTTGACTGTCTCCATCCTCCACCCGCGGCCCCGGAGCTCCCTCGGGGCCGCCAAGGCCACGCGATCGCCGTTTCTACAGCCCCCCGAGGCCCCCCGCGCGGCCGCGCGAGCTTCCGCGGCCCTGTGTCCACGTCCGTTTTTGTTCAAAAAATGGCGCTGAGGCGGGGTCCTCGCCCCGGCCTTTCGGACCCCCCGGGCGGTGCAGACGTTGCCTAGGGGGTCGTTTTCCTCTTGGAAACCCTTCCCTGGCCCCCGCGGCCCGTGCGCCCGCTCAAGCCCCCCCGCCGGAGAGTCCCCGGGGACCCTCGCGGCCTGTCCCTCGCGAGGCCCAGGAGGGCAGCGCGGGGGCCTCGGAGACCTCGGCCTCGTCCGTGCAGAGGCCGCCTCCTCCCGGACCCCCGTGTGGACAGGACCCGGGTCCTTCCTGGGACACCCGCCGGCCGCCCTTGGTCCCCGGACCCCACCCCCGGAAAGTGCCCCCTTCCCGGGCAGCAGGGACGTCACCCCATCCCTCCTCCTGGGCAGCGGGCACCTCGCTCCATCCCTGTGCCCGAGT